ATGCCGCTCCCCACAGGGGCAGGAGTTTGCAGAAAGTTAGTGTTGTGTATTCTTTTGGTGAAAGTTGGATAATTTTTAACAGGGAGAGAAAGAGTCGAGGCAGTAGGGGTGGGGGCCCCTCGCAATGGGTGGACGTGGTGCTTCTAACCACGCTGGTGGGTTCAAGCGACTCAGCGCCCTTCTCCGGGCCTTTCCGTCCCCTTGGCAGAGGCTGTACAAGACCCGGCTTGGTCAGTGCCGTCCGCCATGTAGCAGGGTCGCATGCTGTAGACACAGGTGTATCCGTGTATCTTGGCCAAGAGTGTCGGCTGCGTGGTGAGGTGTGTCTGGGAGCTGGCCTCGTGTAGAGGTGGCTTCTGGATCTGTGTGTTTTGTAGAGTCCATTTTAGCGTGGCTTGAGACCGTGTCTCTCTTTGACTCCGTCTGACAGGTTTTAGTTTATGTTTTTCAAGAAGGTGCTTGAACTTCTTCAGGAGTGTGTGTGGAGCCACAGGTTATGCTGTTTTCTGAAGAACCAGGGAAGACAGTTACCAGAGACCTGCCTTGTGTGGACAGCTACACCACGGAAGTACCCGCAGTGAGGTTCAGGGAGACCGCAGTTAGAAATGAACTGTTGGGACCTGATTAATTAACAAACCTAACTGTGGTAGAGACATCTTCATATCCAGTGCTGAGGTGGGCACCTGGGCCTACATATCAGAGACATTAACTCTTGAAATTAAGTCACTTCCCCCCATAGCTCCCGGAGTTAGTAATTCTGTCCCTAATCTCTACTTCTGTGTTACTTTTATTGAGATACCCCTGGCTAATACGTTTGGTGATTAATGTTGACGGTAGTCTTTGTGGTCTCCCCTCAGAGCCAGTTTCTGGGGTCAGCTTGTCTTCGTCAGTGACGTACAAGTACACTTGTTTCTCCAATGGCTATTGGGTAGCATAATCATTATTATGATTGCATAATCATGACCATTATTATTTTATCGAGATGGAGAAAATGGGTGAAATAATTCCTCTGTCAAGTAGATAAAGTAGTTACACAGCATACACAACACAGCATACACAACACAGCATACACAGTGTTGTATGTTGAAATCTGTAGTGATTTCCACTTTGTATAAATTGAAAATATGGAATTTTAGTGAAATAACAATAGCTAACACTTACTTAGCACTCACTGTATGCCAGGCATTCTTTTAAGCACTTTACATGTATTATTTCACTTAATTCTTAAGTGAAAATAAATAACCATAGGAGGTAGGTATTAGTTGTCTTCTTGCCATTTTAGAGGTGAGCAGGTTGAGATACTTGAGGCTAAGTCATTTGTTCCAGGTCACACAGCTGGTGAGTGACACAGTTGGTGAGTGACAGCTGGTGAGTTCTGAATGTAAGTCCTCTGGCTCCAAGTCTGTGCTTTGGATCACTGTGCTGTGTTCTCTCCCTAATAAAGATTTTAGCTCATGTGTTGTTAGTTTTTCTTTTCATTTTACTTCTTTTTGTAATATTTTCTAGATGTGGGCTAGGAGTTTTATAGAGAAGATTTGCTAATTCTAGGACCTTTGGAATCCATGGACTTATCCATCTTCTGTTGCTGTTATTTGGCAAGCAAACACTATATGCTTGTTTATATCAGTAGGTCTCAACCAGGAATGATTTTGCCCCCCAGGGGACATTTGCTGATGTCTGGAGATAGACATCTTTAGTTGTCGTAAGTCAGGAGACGTGCTCCTGGCACCTAGTGGTCAGAGGCCGGGATGCTGCTGAAACATCTTAATGAAGCACAGGACCGCCTTCCACAACAAAGAATTGTTCAGCCCAAAATGTCAATAGCATCAACTCTGGCCTATAGAATAAGTTACTGATGATCTTGTAATGCCATTCTGATCTCTAATGGGCAAAGTCACGTTAGTAATGTAGAAATGTTTACTTTTGATGTTTGTTTGATAATTGATTTCCCCAAATTAATGCATGTTTGTATAAGGGACATAAACACCAACTATAACTTAAATATTTAAGTTCCCTTAAAGTAAACTGGGAATTATAGCCCACTGAGGGAGAGCTGAGGAAGTTTAAAGGGAGGCCATATAATGCCTGAGGATACAATACTCTAAATATTTGTTGGATTACCTTGTGAATAACACAATTAGATTTCATTTTTTGTGTTGTGTTTACTTGTCAAATGTATAAACATTTTAAATATCCTGTAATTTTAAAAACCATGTTTTGGTATGTTTTTAATTAAAAATTTCATACTGAGAAAAGTGGAGAATATTACATTGTACCCCATGTATGTACCACCCATATTTAACAAATGCTGACAAATACTGAAGTCCATTTTGAGCTTTCTCATCCCATCCCTTAGGTGTTTCTACATTTTTTGTTATACCAAACATCTCAAAAGTTGACGGGGCCTGGAACTCTTCCGA